GAGGTAGTTTGAAAAGTTTGGAGATTCAGGCTGGCAGAGGGGTAGAAATGAGTGAAGCTTAGTGGGCAATTCTGGCGGGAGCTCAGAAGACTAGAATGCCAATAGAATTATTCATCATGCTCATGAGGTTTCAGAGGAAAATGAGGATTCTTTGGGGAACTTGATTAGAAGAAATTCATGCTACATTCTGGCAAAAAAACAAAACAACAACAATAACAACAACAACAACAAAAAAAAACTAGTGTACTTTTTGCCCATGTCCTGAGATTTGGTGTGAGGCTGAATTTAAAGGTGATGGACTCATTAATGTGGTTGAGAAAATTTTCAGCAGCACAGCATTCATCCAGTGGCATGGACATTTCTGGTAGCTTTTAGTCAGCTGACTGTAAGAATTGAGAGCAGAAAACAGCTAAAGGGTTTTTAAAACTTGAAATTTGGCTGGAAAAGTGCATATAAAGCTGGAGCCAGGAAAGTTGTGTTTGTTGAAGAGGTTACAGGCCTTAATGCTATGCTAAGAACTTTGCACAGAGAAAATAGAAAAGATGGTTTGAGGAATTCTCAGGGATTGGTAAAACAACATCCATTGCAAGCTCAAGGATGTAAAAGTGAAACTTCCTTTGAGAAGGGATGATGAGGAAACCCTGCTTGCAGAGTGGGGCTAAAATGTTGTTTCACCATTCTGGGACACATAGGTACTCAGAAGGTGCTGCAGCCATGATACCAGGGGGTCCATGCACTAAACGAGCAGGTGGTGTACTTGGCAGCATTCATGTGGTGATGGTTTTGCAGGAGGAGAGGATGCTAAAATTAAGAGGTCATGAAGGTTTCCACTGAGATTTCAAAGGAAGGCTCGAGAAACCAGTAAAAGTGTAGCAGGATTAGTCAATACCCTGAGAAGGTGATATATAAAGTTGTGAAGGTGAAGCTGGAGCTGGGATGGAGACCCCAGGGATTAAGAGATGCCAGTAATGTGAACTATTTGCTGAGAAAAGCTGTTGTCTGCAGAGGAAAAAAAAAAAAGACTAAAAGAAAACCCATGTATTCTGCTACTGGCAAACAGAGCTGTCTATACACTTTTGGAAGCACATCTTCCTACCAGATGTTCTAGAGATGCTGTACTTGGAGTTACTGTACCTGTTTGACTGGCTGGGCTTTAGTCTTGTATTGACCCTATTTCAATTCTGTTCCTTCATTCTGTACCACTATTCCTCATTTCAGAATAGGAATGTTTACTCTGTGCCACTGTCTATTGGATATAAGTAACTTGCTTTTGGTTTCTACAGGGACTCACAGCAAAGACTTTGCTTTGAGACTCAGATGAGATTTTTGGATTTGGGGTAATGCTAAAACTATAAAGACTATGGGACTCTTGGAGATAAATTAAATAAATTTTATATTGTGAGATAGACATTAATTTGGGGGGAAAGGGGCCAAATCTTATGGTTTAGATATAAGGTCTTCCGTCCCAAAGCCCTTGTGTTAATAAAGGAGTATTTGGAAGTGAAATGACTACATTGGGAGAGTTAAAATACAATCAAACCACTCTAGCTTGCATGTATTGACCGAGAGATAACTGTAAGCAGGTAGGGCATAGCTGGAGGAGGTGGGTCACTCAAGCTGTGCCCTGGTGCCGGGTTTGTGTTTTCACAACTAAAAGGCTCAGGGTTTACTCCAGTTAAACTGGGCTGACTGGGCTGCACAAAATAACCCACAAGAGACACAAATACCTTTTTCTTTGGGGTCGCTGTGATGGCTCCTCTGACCTTAAGGGTCCACAGGAAGAGAGAGAGAGAGAGAGAGCGCACAAGTGCTGACCCCTTTTATTGAGGAGAAGCTATTTAAATGAGGCAAGGGGTCAGGTTTCAGGGGGCTGAGTCTCTTCATGATGTCCACTGTCAGCAGGTTGACTGACACCTGGGTAGGCCACACCCAAGGGCACAGTAAGAGAAGGGGACACACACAAGGCACTTCCATGGAAGATTCTATTCTAAACAGGGCAAGGGGTTATGTTACAAAGGAACAGGTGAGCGTAGCTCCACCCACGGGGCTGTAACAACACACACCCATGCACCAGACACGACCCTTGAACCCAAGAAGGGTGGGGAAAGCTCTGCCACATTTCTGCGACTGAGGGCCTCAGCACCCAGCCAGGGAGTGTGATCCAGTCACGTGTAAGGTGGGTCTCCCACACCCTGAAAGTATTTATTCGTCCTGGGGCCCTTTCCTTTCTCTCTGCTTCCTTGCTGCCATGAAGGGAGGGTTTCTCTTTGCTGTGCTCTTCACCCGTGATGTTCTGCCTCACTATGAGCCCAGAGTGAAGGAGTCAGCTGTCTATGAACTGAGTCCTCTGAAACCTTGAGCCCCAAATAAACGTTTTCTCCTCTAAATTGTTATTTGGGGGTTCTTTTGATGACACTTATGAAAAAGCTGATGGGCGAAAATGGACTTGGTTCAATGGCTGGAGATATTCTACCAAGGGAGCTTACATAGATTCTAGTGAACTGCAAGTCAATTTTTCCATTTTCTTATTGGGATTATCATTCATCTGAATCATCCATTGAAGAAAAATTTTGCATTTCTTATTATTGTTTAATCATGACTAATATGATAACACTAAGCCATTGTTTCACAGAGATAAGGAAGATTCCACCAGGAATACAAGAGATCCCTTAGGGTTGTCTTAGTGTTATCATTCCCAGTGAAAGTTGAATGGGAGACTATGACAACTCAAGTAAAGAAAGGTTCTTGGCCCTTCAGGAATGGAGATTTAGATCACCCCTACATGTTAAGAACTATAAACAAATGAAATGTTCACTGAAGGAAGGAAAATAAGAGAATGGGTAGTAGAACTAGGTACTTAAAACACCAGTAACATTCCCATGAGAAGTTAAAATTAAGAATACAGTTAGGAGTATTTCTTCTTATGTTGTTTATGAGCATATGTGTGCTGTTTGAAATATATTTATTTCCCCTCTCTCTTATCCCATTATCATGAATCACTTGACGTGTTCACTTTAGTTCATAGTATTTAAGTACAATGTTATTACATTTACATAACAGTTATGGGATATCAACAGTAAGTGTAAACATCATCCAAATTGTTGGCCTCCTGTGACGAGGAGAGATCAGTATGTGTTTGCTTATACTCAGGACATTACATTATGTTAGGTGGGCGAATTGCCTTGTTATTGCCTTATTTGGAGGTAAAGTATGTTTTCAAGAAATGTGTATCAGTGCCAAGTCAACAAATGTAGGACTTGTGATGATTAATTTTAATTCATCAACCTAGGAAGTGTTTTGAGATGATATTAACATTTAAGCCAGTGAAACTTGGGTTGGGCAAAGTATGGATGAGTCTCATCCAACGACTGAGGATCTCAACGTAACATAACCACTTGCTTCCTGAATTACAGGAATTCTCCAATGACTACCTTTAGATTGATTGCACCATCAGCTCTGTGGAAGTCTTCTTGAGGCTTCAGTCCTGAAATACACAATTAGTTCTATTAAGTCTTTCTTTGCTGGCCAATACTGCAGACCTGGATCTGCCAGTCTCCATAATTGTAAGAATGAATTCCTCATAAAGTATCTCTCTCTCTTCTCTCTCTATTTCACACACACACACACATACACACACACACACACACACACCTCTCTGTTTCTATGGAGAACATTAACTAATAAAACTACTGGGAAAATTAATACATGAATGATATAAGAATCAAAAGGTGCATGACAAAAGCAATTCACACAAAAGCAAGTTGTATCGAACATTTGAGGAGCAAGAACATACGAGAGATCAAAAACAGAAAAACTACAGCAGTTCTTATCATTTATTACTGAACTATAAGTAAATGAAACTTTTCAATAAGGTAGACAATGGAAGCATGGATTTGAAAAGATGATTAAACTGCAATATTTACAAAAGAGCTGCTTATATACAAAGACACAAATAGCATGAAAATGAAAGATGGAAAAATATTCATTCATTATCTGCTCCTAGAAAACAAAAGAAGTTATTATTTGACAAAACAGGCTTTAAGAAAAAATATTTTAGAAGAGAAAAATAAGCAATATATCTGGAGACACCAGTTATTGAAGAAAATATTATTAAAAACAAATGTAATGGACATTATTACCCTAGGTCCATGTATGACTGCACATGTGGTGCAATGCTACATTGTGTATAATCAGAGAAATGAAAAGTTGTTCTGCAATTGTGTATAATGAATAAAAATGCATTCTGCTGTCATATATACCTAATTAAAATAAATTAATTAATTTAAAAAATAGTCATCTATCAACTGGTTCTCAAAATATATGGAGAAATGTAAACAAAATTAAAAGGGGATCTAGACCATTTCTATAGTAATAGACTTTACTATGTGACTTTTAATAATGAATAAAATAGCTAGAAAGAGGATCAAGATGAAATAGAGAATATGAATAACATCATAATCCAAAAAGTCTTAGCAGACATACAGAGTCTTCTGTTCAAGAACTGCTTATTCTGAGTTGCACGTGAAACATTCCCTAGGGCAAACTATATCTTAGGCTAAAAATATATTCTCAATAAACATAGGAAGATTTAAATCATAGAAAACATCTTCACCCGCCACAATGCAATTGAAGTAAAAATCAATAACAAGAAAATTTTTAGTATTCCCACATAAGAATATGTTATAATCAATGAGTAAAAAATGGAGGGAAAGAAATTATAAAATAATTTGAGACAAACAGAAGCAAAACAACAAAAAAGTAGATTTTGGCAGAAGCAGAAATTTGTCATTGTAAGGGTCTATGTTAAAATTAGAGTGATCTCAAGGAAATAAGCTGACTTCAAAGTTGAAGAAAATATTATTATAAAGTGAAAGCTTAAACTGAAAGTAGCAAAGAAAGAAAATAAAGATTAGATCAGAGTAAATAAATAAGATGTAAAATAAGAATAGGTATAATCAATAAAACCAAATATTGATTGTGTGGACAAAAATGACAAAACTTTGAAGACTATGAAAAAAGAGAGAAAATTCAGATTAACAAAGTCATAAATAAAACTGAGAATATAACCTCTGACCTTATATATCCAAGAACCTAGTGAATTTCGTGAATAGCTCCATAACAATATATTGGAAAACACTGAAAAATACAGATTCCTGAAAATACCCACACAAGCAAAATAGACTATAATAAAGAATTCTGAATATACTTATAAAAATTGCAAATAATCAAATAGTAAAAAATAATATTCCAACAAAGCAAACCCCAGGAGCAGATAGTTTCTATTTTGCATTCTCCAAAACTAACATATAATTGTAATGTATCATGATGACATGGAAGAGACTACATGTTTTGGCTGTTTTCCTTGGTTGCTATAACTGTATTGCATATATGAAGTTTAGACAGCACATATGAATTCTTTCACAGAAACCAGAAGCTTGAAACCATCTTTCTGAGCTGTGACCAGTGTGTCATCAAAGTCCTGGTTTCTACATCATCTCTAGGTGAATCTCCCACATTCACACCTTCCACCTTGAGGTGGCGGCCACCATCAATGGTAACATCCCCTGCATCCGGGGTCTTGTTGCCAACTCCCCTTTTTCTGTGGTCATGTTTTTCTGACTTTTCTTTCATAATATGCATGGGATTGGCTTTAAGGCATGCATGGTTAATTTCAATGGCTTTTCAGTCCTAAAAGTCTCAGTTAATCATACCTGCAGAGTTAGTTCCTGTGTGCCAGGTAGAATGACTGAAAAAGGTTTTAGAAAATAGCAATTGACTAATTATAGGGCCAATATGGAGCTTTGGAGCTTGTCAGTGTTCGATATGCCAGTCACACTATGCATTGTGTTTGAATTTTTCCACCAATGCATAATAATTTCAAAATTAAAAACCATGAAATATGTGCCACATCACATGGAAAAGATCATAAAGAAATGAGTTCAGGTACTATGCATGTCAAAAAAAAGTTAAAAGCAGAATCATAAAGATTATTTTGCTTTTAAAACCGTCTTTGTGAATGCGCTCTTGACCTCCTTGTTCCTCAGGCTGTAGACCATAGGGTTCAGCATGGGGATGACCATAGTATAGAACACAGATATGATTTTGTCTGTGTCCATGGAGTGACTGGAGCTGGGCTGTAAGTACATGAAGATTAGAGTCCCATAGAAAATGGAGACTGCTGTGAAGTGGGAGGCACAGGTGGACATAGCCTTCCTATGTCCTGTATCTGAGCGCATCTTCAGGATTGTGATGAAAATGAATATGTAGGATATTACGATAACTATAACACCAAAAAAGATATTGAAGCTGGCTACATAAATAAGAACCAGCTCATTAACATGTCTCTCCGAGCAGGAAAGAACCATGACTGCTGGAATTTCACAGAAAAAGTGATGGACCACATTGGAAAGACAGAACACAAGACTGAATGTGTTCCCAGTGTGGATGGAGGCATTCAGGAAACCAATGACATAACAGCCTAAGATCAGCCACATACACATACTTGTTGTCATGGTGGTGGTGTAGTGCAGGGGCTTGCACACTGCTGCATAGCGATCATAGGCCATTGAGCACAAGAGGAAATTTTCAACAGTAGCTGAGACTACAAAAAAGAACATCTGAGCAGCACAAGCATTGTAGGAGATGACCTTGTCTCCAAGAAGGAGCCCAGTCATGACCTTGGGAGTGACAGCTGAAGAGTAGCAAAAGTCCACCAGAGACAGGTTGCCCAGGAAAAAGTACATGGGAGTGTGGAGACGGGAGTCCAGGAGAATCAACAGGATCATCCCCAGGTTCCCAACCAGAGTGATGGTGTAGATGAGGAAGAAGGTCACAAAGAGAGGGACTTGTAGATCTGGGTCATTGGTCAGTCCCAGCAGGATGAAGTGTGTCACTTCCGTCCTATTCTCCATCTATGTTATCTGAAGAAGACTGTGATATTCTACAGAATGAGAAAAATGAAAGAATTATAAGAAAATTATAGTGAACTTGGGTAGTATGCATATCCTATATAGTCTTCCAAAAACTTGCATGCTAAAAATTCTTCAGGAAAAGCATTGAACTCAAAACTGTGTTTGGGAAAAAAATGTGTTTGGTGTACAAGTTATATATATATATATATATATAATTATTTATGACAAATTATATATAATTGTAACAGGATTACAGACTGTCAAATTGAGGAACATTAATGAATTACAAACATAATTTAAAAATATTTATGCTATTTAAACTGTGATTAGATAATTACTACTCTTTGGAAAATAACATAAGGGTAGGTACATCTCTCCAACCATGTACTTCTGCTGAGCTGTCAAAGCTGGCCCTTCCATGTTGCTCACTGACCTACAACTGCTCTAGACATATCAGATGTGTATTCATTGTTTCTTCTCAATAATATTAGGAGTTTGGTTGGTTGCAATATTCATGCAAATTATAAAGCAAGAGAGGCTTGGAAATCTCTTCATTTATTTGTAAACAAGTATTACCTGGAAATTTCTGTTCTGGAAACCTTTAACTCATTGTGAGTGGTCCCTGAGCTTAATGGTCTAGTCTGAATTTAGAACAATGTAAATTTTACTCAGTACCTTGTCACCTTTAGTTCCAACACTGTGTTTGGGACATCACAGAGAACTGGGTGAGTGAATGATTAGGGGATCATTTCCTCTCCTTCAGTATATGTTTCCCTCTAGTTAGAGGTAAAAGAAGCAAAAAATCATCCATAACAGTGTGGTGATCCCTCTTTCAATGATGAATGGATCCTAAATGGAACAGCAATCTCTGAAGGGCATGTAAACTTTTTCCAGTGCCCTCCTACTTGTTTTTACCAACATGTCTACACATGTTGATGACTAACAAGATAACTTTTTAATTAGGTTCAAGAGGGATTTAAATCTGGAATCTACACAGATTATCCCTGATAATAGGGATCACAGCTCTAGAAGAACTCTATTCAGCATGCAGAAGTGATTTTGTGAGAAGCCATGTCATCAGATTTAGCAGACATAGAGTTTGGCTTCTAGTGAGAAACTCACATCAAACCTACCATTAACCACTAAGAATCACCAATCCTAACACAACTATCCTGAGCACATTATGTCCAACTGCATAGTGAAAATCATAAGCAGGACTATTATGAGGTATCATGGTGGGAATCAAATAAGATATGCAGAAAAGACAACAAAATACTGGGTGTAATCACAGCCTGTTGAGTGTAGATATCATGTTCTTATCAGGATGGGATCATGGTCTTTATCTTGATTGATGGAGGGCATGCTCACATGCAGACTTCAGTTGTGGGTGAGTTTGAAGTTTTGAAGCTTCTCTCCCCAAATAGCATTTCTCCCACACTAAGTCCACTGACATTTTGTGGTCTCTCCACTGTCATTCTGTCCTTGCCCCAAGCATGTGACTGATGCTCCTGTAATTTCAATGGGCCACACTCTTAAAATTTCAACAGATGAATAGATAAAAAACATGGTGTGTGGGGGTGTGTGTGTGTGTAAATGAATATTACTCAGCCTTAAAAAACAATGAAATTATGGCATTTGCTAGTAAACGGATGGAGTTGGAAAATAGCATGCTAAGTGAAATGAGCCAATCCCTAAAAAGCCAAAAGCAGAATGTTTTCTCTGATAATGTGGATGCTAATTCACCATGGTTGGCGTGGGGTAACTAAGGAAGAATAGAGTTACTTTAGATCAGGTAGAGGGGAGTGAAGGGAAAGGTGGGGTATGGGGATAGGAAGGACAGTAGAATGAATCAGACATTATTACCCTATATAAATATATAACTATATGACCAGTGTGATTCTATATCATGTGCAATCAGAATAATGAGAAATTACACTCCATTATATATAATCTATCAAAGTGCATACTACTGTCTGTATAGCTAATTAAAACAAATCTAAAAAAAAATCTTCCTTAAAATGCATATATTTTGTTTGAGTAGAAGAATCCATTTTTCTTTACAACAACAACAAATATTCTTTCTCTCCTACTGTCATTCCATAGACAAAGCTCAGAAACCCAGGGTTAAAAGCTTCCAGTTTATGGGCTGTCTTTAGCTTTCTCTGTATGTTCCCTTTCCTGTAATATCATATTTCAAATTTTCTTTGTAGTAACATTATTTTTTTAAAAAATTTGCATTGAGCCTTTGGAAGAATTTCTACCCCAAAATAATTATTGTTCCCTAACATCACACCTCCTAGGACTTTGACTTCTTCACTTTATGTGCCTGCCTCCTGTGAAGTCATTGTGTTGGTCTAACATAACACACATCACCTTAACCAACATATATTTCCACAAGAAATTATAAGGGCCTAAAGAGGCGTTCATGTGTGTGTAAGGTAGACAGCATACTATTTTTACATAGTCTTTTAGAAAATTGAGGATTTGAGAAGTTTCTGATCTTCCAAAATTATATAGCTAGAATGAGGAAGTCTCAAAATGAAACATTTAACGTCATCTTCTCCAGAATCTAAATGAATGCTTTCAGCTCCCTCATTGTCAAAGTGTATGGAAGTTCTAGTGATGATGAACAGGAGCCTGCAGGCAGGTGAGAGAGAGCATTTCAGAGCTTCTTAATCCGAGGACCCCTTTCTAGTTTAAAGAAGGATCCTTTCACTCTTCTAGGATTTTTTAGGGGGAGGGGTTGTTTGTTTGTTTGGCCTATAATGAGTCATAAATGCATAGTGAACAAGATGAAATCACCTGCTAAACAATGAGATAATCTTCTTTTTTATATTTTCATGTGTATTTTTGTAAAAGTAAGCATGATGTGTCATGAGAGTCACTAAATTAATTGTAACAGGCATTTTGACATTTATATCCCAGAGTCTTCTCAGTTTTTCAGAAAAGTGTCGAATTCATTCCTTTCTCTTGTAAAATAACTCTCAGGTATTATGGCCACCCCACTGTTGTTGTTGTTGTTTTTTGCATAAATTACACTTTTTATTAAGAATATTTAAGGAATACAGGGCTTACCAGTTTGGTGTAGGAAGGAAAAAAACTCTCAATTCAGAATAGTCAGTCAGAAATCATACAATCCACCGCGGAGTACTGCATATATTCTGTTGAGTGGATCTCTCCCAGGTAGTAGTCAAAACTTGCCAAGTTGTCCCAGGCATGCAGAAATGGAGGACAGTACACAAACATGGGTAAAGTTCCAAATTTATCATTAATTCTTTCTGTTTCATTGAAGAATCTCCTTTCTCCTCCTTTTTTGTAAAATAAGCCTGATAAGATTATATCTTCCACATAATTCATGGACTGTGTCTGTAAACAACAAGAAGCCTGGTCTCTAATACATCTTGGGATGAACTCATCGCTTAAAAGACAAACAATGGGACTATTGTCTTTGTGTGATTCCCTGACCCTGTTTGAAGGCTCACAGCAAGTCCTCATGTCAGAAGGCCTGTGTGTCCTCAGGACAATCATTCAGATTAATAAACAATGACCAACGAGGCTTTGGCATGTCCTGTGTTCCTTCAAAAACAATGTGACATTGAGTCCCATACATTTTTTTTCTTTTGAGAATAATACATAGAGATGTGGAGAGAATTATATAGACTTGGAGATCTGTGGCGTTTTTACCTGTGAGACTCTCTGCAGTTCCTCTTTCTATTTTCTGGGAAACAAGCAATTAAACTACCTGTGGGAATCAATAGGCTACCATAATATGCACATGTCTTTGTATTGCCTTTTTGTTTTTCAAAAGTTCTAGTTAATGCACAACTCATATACAGTAAAATACACATTTTATAGTATGTAGTTCTAAGGACTTTGTCAAACGCATGGCCCTGTAACCACTCGCACAATCATGTAAAGCTTTTCATTTGAGCTTCTATTGGATAACTTGCCCATGTCAACTGTTTTCATTCAATTGGTTTTGTCTTTGGTAGAATATCTCTAGCTATTAATTTGGAGTACTGGAATACGTTGCCTTTGAATTCCACATTTTTACTTAGTATTTGAAGTCTATTCCTATTTTCAACTGTATCATTGTGGAAACTTACGAATCAAAGATTAGTTAAGTCTATACATTAATTCCATTCTGTAAGGAACATTTGCCTTTGCTTTAGTCTTTGATTATTACATCTTAGACTGATCTAGACAGCTGTTTCAACGTTTTTTGTGTGAGTGAATATCAGCTTTTTGGCACAATATAAAGGGATTTGTGAAAGGATAAGTACTTCTTGATTGAATAAAAAATTTTGAAACTATTTTCTGAAAGTCTCTTCTTTGAACTCATAGCATGTATATATAAATATCATTTATATACAAGCAATCTACTTGAGTTGTTTCACATTTTTTATTTGGTATTTAAGTTTTTGAATTATTTTCTTATATACTTTCATTTTTGGTATTCTTTAACACACCTATAGAAATTTCTTTAGCAAAATTTATTTTTCTTCTTAAACAGCCACTGAGATGAGAGATGAATGTGAATTACATAGGGGGTCTAGATGCAAGCTACCATTTCCTTTTATGACAGAACTGAAGTAAAAGGTAGTTTGGGGCATACCAAGGGCTTGTTACACCACAGAAATACCCCCAAAGAAAGCGAAACCTCTCTGACTCTAAAGGCTGGTTCCTGTGAATTTTTCTAATATTTTTGGAATTTTATAGTATTTTTAGAAAACTAGTGATTAGTGAATCAGGAACAAAATCGTGTCATTTACTGATAAATGGATGAATCTGGAAACCAATGTGCTAAGTGAAATTAGCCAGCCATAGAAAATGTCAAATGCTTTTTCTCATATGTGGACAAACAGAAAGTGATATCATAAAAATAGAAGGTATACTTACAGAGTAGAGAAGGGATTGGGAAGGTATGTGGGGAGGACAGAAGGGAGCACTCAGGAATGAAATCTATCGAATTATGCTATGTTCATGCCTGATCATAGTACAATGAATCCTACTTTATAT